GTCTGGGTGGCTCAGCCGGTTAAGTCTCCAACTTTTGATTTCAGCTCAGGTCATGATCTTGGGGTCCTGGGATCAAGCCCCACATGATGCTCAGCGCAGAGCCTGCTTGTCCCTCTCCCTCTGCTCCTTCCAGCACTTGTGCTCTCTCTCACTAAAATAAGTAAATAAATAAATGAGGTAAAGCAATACCACTTTTCTCACTAATTTTTTTGAAATCATAACCATTTTTCACAAAAATGTTATTTATATTAACTGATTTATTATTGTTATTTGAAACAAATTAATATGTAAATATTTTAAAATTTCTCAGCTTTGATTTCTAGTGGTAATGACCAACACAGTTAATTCACATAAACACAAGCTCTTTGGAGTCCTCAATAATTTCTAAGAGTGTTGGGCGCCTGGGTGGCTCAGTTGGTTAAGCGACTGCCTTTGGCTCAGGTCATGATCCTGGAGTCCCAGGATCGAGTCCTGCATCAGGCTCCCTGCTCAGTGGGGAGTCTGCTTCTCCCTCTGACCCCTCCCCTCATGTGCTCTCTCTCTCATTCTTGCTCTCTTAAATAAATAAATAAAATCTTGGAAAAAAATAATTTTTAAGAGTGTAAATGAGGTGTACCTGGGTGGCTCAGTCGTTAAGCATCTGCCTTCAACTCAGGTCATGATCCCAGGGTCCTGAGATCGAGCCCCACGTTGGGCTCCCTGCTCAGCAGGAAGCCTGCTTCTCCCTCTCCCACTCCCCCTGCTTGTGTTCCCTCTCTTGCTGTGTCTCTCTGTGTCAAATAAATAAAATCTTAAAAAAAAAAAGAGAGAGAGAGTATAAAGGAGATCCTGAGACTAAAAGTTTTGAGAACCCTGTTCTGAGCAGCTGGACCTCACCGAAGGGGTTTGAATGAAGGAGTGACATGATAACATTTCAACAAATTGTTCAACAAATATTTATTAAACACCTTGATGTGCCCAGCACAATTTGAGGTACTGGGATAGAGCAGAAAACAAATCAAATCAAACTCCCTGCTTTCACAGAATTTACATTATACTGGTATGACAGACAGCAAACAAAATAATTAATATATATAGTATATTAGATAGTGGTAGCTGTTGAGAAAAGCCAGGAACTAGGATATGAAAGCTGAAAGGTGTGTGTGTGCATGTGATTTTGGATAGGGTCACCAGGGAAGTTCTCAGTAAGAAAGTGAGTTTTCAGTAAAGGCCTGAAGGAATAAGGGAGTGGACTCTGCAGGTATCTGGGAGAAGTGAATTCAGGCAGAGGGAAGAGCAAGGGGAAAAGTTCTGAAGCAAGAGCATGCCTGGCAGGTTTGAGGAACAACATGGAGGACAGTGTGGCTGGAGTGGAAGAAGGTCCAGAGTATTAGGAGATGAAGGTTATGGAGGGGAGGTACATTTCTTGAGATAAAAAAGCCAATGGAAGATTTTGAGAATAGAAGAGACATCTTCTGACTTAGCTTTAACAGAATCACTTTGGTTGCTGCACTCTGAGCAGGTTGAAAGGCCATAAGCAGAAAGGCTAACCAGGTGGTCATTGCAGTAATCCTGATGCAGGATGATGGTGGCTTGGACCAGGGTCCAAGTGGGGATGGGAGATGTAGTTGGATTCTCGATAGATTTTGAAAGTAGAGTTGACAGAACGTGGCACTAGATGGATATGAGGTATGAGGAAAAAAGAAGAGTCAAATGACACCAAACATTTGAGTAACTACAAGAGTGGAGTTGCTATTGTCTGACACAAACAAGGCTGTAGGAAGGACCAGTTTGAAGAGAACTATCAAGAGCTTGGTTTGGGACATATTAAGTGGGAGATGTCTATTAAACACCCGAGCGGGGGCGCCTGGGTGGCTCAGTCGTTGAGCGTCTGCCTTCGGCTCAGGTCATGATCCCAGGGTCCTGGGATCGAGTCCCAGGTCAGGCTCCCTGCTCCACGGGAAGCCTGCTTCTCCCTCTCCCACTCCCCCTGCTTGTGTTCCCTCTCTTGCTGTCTCTCTCTGTCAAATAAATAAATAAAATCTTTAAAACAAAACAAAACAAAACACCCAAGCGGATGTGGCAAGTAGGTGGTTTCATATGTGGGTCTGACTTCAAGAAAGAGGTCTAGACTGGAATATGAATTGGGGGGTTCTCAGAAAAAAAGATAGGATTTAAAAGCCAAAGGATCAGCAGCAATTACTCAGGAGATGAATGTTGGTGGAAAGGAAGTTTTGATGACTCCATCCCAGGTGCAAATCTATTATGTTGAGGTTGGGAAAATGAAAAGGAATAAAAAAGACACTGAGAAGGAAGAGGCAAAAGAAGAAAACCAGAATTGTGGGAAATCCTGGAGACTAAGTGAAGAAAGTGTTTTAAGGAAAAGAGAGTAATCGGGCGCCTGGGTGGCTCAGTTGGTTAAGTGAGTACCTTTGGCTCAGGTTATGATCCTGGAGTCCCGGGATCGAGTCCCTCATCGGGCTCCCTGCTCAGTGAGGAGCCTGCTTCTCCCTCTAACCCTCCCCCATCTCATGTACTCTCTCTCTCATTCTCGCTCTCTCAAATAAATAAATAAAAAGAGAGTAATCAACTATACTAAATGCTGCTTACAGATTGTCATATGAAGATTAAGAAACAGTCATTGGATTGACCAAGGTGGAGCTATTGGTGATCTTGAGATGAGCAGTTTTGGTGGTTTGTAGGGGGTCAAACATCTGGTTGGAATAAGTCCAAGGGGGCATAGTAGAGGAATTGAAAATGTTGAGTACCTACACCCTTTCCAAGGAATTTTGCTACAAAGGGAAGGAGAATGTGTGGCAGCTGGAGGAGGATGTTGAGTCAAAAGAGGGTTGTTTTTGTTTGTTTTCCTGATGAGAGGAATGTTTATAAGCTGACCTAGAAAGATCCAGTGGAGCGGGGAAAATTGCTGCTGCAGGAGAGAGTGGGAGAATGGCAGAAGCAATGTCCATGAGCATGCAAGTGTGCAAACAGAGAGGCTGACTGTGAGTTAGGAGAATTCATCCACAGGAAGAGGGAAGAAGAGGGCCTTTAGGAGTGTAAATTTAGTACCAGTGCGGACAAGAAATCAGAGGGGAACTTGCATTTATTTGTTGGTTACTTACTTTTTGTCCAGCAGGTGGGGGACCTTCCCTCATAACACTTCTCCTATACAAGGGAGGTGAATTATAAGGCTGTTGCAAGTAAAGTTCCTGAAACCCCAAGACTCTGTGCTCTTTATGCTCCCATGGAACTTTGTCTGTTTCTAGATCCCGTTGCTGATATCAGAATGCCTTCTATGCAATGACAAAGATTCTTTGCTTGACCAAACTGTAGTCAGGCTTCTCAACCTTCTCCTAGGTCCATCCGTGTGCACTTGTAAAAATCTTGTAAAAATCTAGTCTTAGCGGGGCGCCTGGGTGGCTCAGTTGGTTGGGCGACTGCCTTCGGCTCAGGTCATGATCCTGGAGTCCCGGGATCGAGTCCCGCGTCGGGCTCCTTGCTCAGTGGGGAGTCTGCTTCTTCCTCTGACCCTGCCCCCTCTCGTGCACTCTTTCTTACTCTCTCTCTCCCTCAAATACATAAAATCTTCTTTAAAAAAATCTAGTCTTAGCAAGAACTTCGCTAACTCAATTTATCCAGAAACCCTCCCCCTTCAATATCTGATCACCTTGCTATCTGATTAGGTCCCTCATCCTCCACTGTCTCCCCAATGATGCCTGATCACCGTGGCCTGTCTTCAACAAGAATCCTGGTAGGTCTACTTAGCCAGAATCCCCCTGACCCATGATGTTTCTTCTTAGTAATTTTCCATCACTTGACCCTCGCTCTGTTCCTTGACTAGAAATCCCTCCCCCTTTGCTCATGCTGTATTCATAATTGAGCCTAATTTCTCTCCCCCACTGCAAAATTCCATTGCGGTAGACCCTATACCTATGGTGATCCTCCCCCTCCCATGAATAAAGTCTTCCCTAAGTGTCATTGAATTTTTTTTTCTTTAACACTGGGTAGGAAGAAACTAACCTGCTAACTCAACCATAGGGTAGAGATCCTTGCTTCTCATAAAGACAGGAAAGAGTTGAGCAGCCCTTGGTGCTGGAATGTCTTAGACCTGAAGCCAGACAGATTTACCCAAAAGATAAAGACAAAAAGAACATACAGTAATAGAAAAAAGTGAAGTTCTCATTTGGGGTCTGAAAGGAAATATAGACAGGAGGATGGAGAGCACCATCCAGCTCAGGGGGTCTCCTTGACTTCTCTACTTCCTCTGAATTCCCGCTATGGCAGCTAACATATAAGGAGGGCTTATTACACACAGCACAATTTATCTACATTACATCACTTAATCCTCACAACTGTCCTATGACGTGGAGTCTAAGGAAAGGGTGAGAAGAAAAGTGATTTACCCAATGACACCCAGAAAACAGCCAAACCAGGGAAAAACACCAAATGTCTGACACAAAAGCTTATGTCCTTAACTCTTTGTATATTTGCTCATTCATTAATTACCTCTATTAGGTATAAACATTACTAAGCCATTCTGGAAAGTACTGGGGTGAGTAAGACAGTGTTCAGGTAAAAGAGTGAAGACTTGAGCACATATAAGATGTGACAAATAACCACAACACATTAGAATCTCCTATAGGATTTCACAAGGAGGCGAGGTCACTCTGGCTGGAAAAAATCACAGAGCTCAAGGAAAGCTCCACAAAGGAAGTAGCATTTGAGATGAGCCTATATAAGCAGATGATGTTTTTTACACCAAGTGTTTTACCTGCAATATACGTTGCTCATTACCATGCATAAGCAATGGAAGACTATGCGAAATTTTAACTGGCAGAGATGGGAAGGCAGAGGCACGGAGGAAAGAAAGGGTCCGATTGTTCAGGATGTACAGAAGCCCCAGTTCAATTCCCCGCTTCTGTCTCAACATCCAGCCTCAAATCCAGTGACTTAGGGGTATTTTCCCCTTAGATTTTCCCCTTGCGAATGTATTCAGAATCATGTATATTCAGTGAAACCCCATGAGGCCATTATAAAAAAATGAATTACTTAATGAACTGATAGGAAATTGTTTCCAAAATGTAATCTTAAATGAAAAGTTTTCAATTAGCAATAATCGTGCCTCAGATAAACCTCATTGGCTACGATACTGCCACTGCGCAAAGCTTGTAATCTTAAATGAAAAAAAAAAAAAAGCCAGGTGAAGAATACAGGGTAGAGTATGCCACTATTTGTGTGATAATGGGGAACAAATGTGTGCGTGTGTGCCCTGGCCTGTTTACATGTAAAATATGGAAGGATCCCCAGGGCGCTGAGAACAGTAATTGCTTTCCTGGAGGGAAACTATATGGCGGGGGGACGGGATGACAGGGAGATTTGTCACTGTCTACATTTTTGTGTCCTTTGACTTTTTAACTATGTGGATGGATTATCTATTAGAAAAATAAACAAATATGAGTTGAACTTTTTAAAAAGTAACTGTAATAGTCTCTAAAGGCCATTCCCTGAAAAAAGGGCATATATTGTAATATGAAGGTAGAAGGAAAAGCGGTTCACTTAGGTGGGCAGTCGCAAAACTTTAGGCCTTAATTTGCATGGCAAAAATTTTATGTATCTATATATATAGTAAATAAACAATAGACTAGGTAATATATTTACTATTAATTTTCTTTTTTTTTTAAGATTTTATTTATTTATTTGGCAGAGAGAGACAAAGCGAGAGAGGGAACACAAGCAGGGGGAGTGGGAGAGGGAGAAGCAGGCTTCCCGCGGAGCAGGGAGCCCGATGCGGGGCTCGATCCCAGGACCCTGGGACCAGGACCTGAGCCGAAGGCAGACGCCCAACGACTGAGCCACCCAGGTGCCACACTATTAATTTTCTTAACATAAGACATCTCTTAGAAAGCAATAAGAAAAGAACTTATAACCCAGTTCAAGAATGGCAAAATGTGTTTCCTCTTAACAGAATATAAATGGAGTTATAATCTTTTTTTAAAAATGACCAACCTCATTTGTGATTAAAGAAAGGCAAATTAGAACAATGAGTTCTTGCTTTCTCACCAACAAGACTGCAAATATCAAAAAGTTGGATGTTACAGAGTGTTAATGAGGGTATAATAAAAGTACTGTTGGAAGGGGTATAAATTGGTATGCTTTCTTTGGAGCGCAAATTAGCAATGCCTGTCAGTCTTGGAAATGAGCATACCTTTGGCCCATCAATTCTAATTTTGAGAATTGATCCTAGAGAGATAATCCTTACATGCGTACAAGGACAAATGTACAAAATTATTCATTGCAGCAGTCTTTATGATTACAAAAGATCAAAATCAGCCTAAATATTTTCCAACTGTAGAAACAGCTGCATCTAAACAGAGGGACAATAGGTAGGTGTTGAAAAGGATAACGTGGGTCTGTAGTGCTGTTGTGACAAGATGATCTTAATTTAGCCCCTCATTATCTCTTACCTGGACAATAGGAATAGCTTCTCAACAGGTCCCCCTGCTTTCATCTTGTCCCCTTGCAGGACCTGCTACATAATTGGCTGGGCCTGGTGCAAAATGAAAATGCAGGGCCCTTGGTTAAAAAAAATATTAAGATTCCAAGAGAGTGACAGCAGAGCATTGGAACAAGGACGGGGGCCCTTCTAAGAGTGAGTCCCTGGGTGACCGCAGAGGTCGAGCACCCCTTCACCACGGGCTGTGAACGTGGTGTGCTGTTCCTTCTACCTGAACCACCTTGCCACCACCCTCTCTTTTTCTAAATGATGCACTACATGCCTGTCAAAAAATCACTCAAATGTCACCTGCTTTGGGACGTTTTCCTTGAACGCTCTTACCCAAGATGCTCTTTCTTTGGTGCTCCCCCAGCTCTGGCACCAAGCCTTATTCACTCTTCCCTCCAATGAATTACAACTATGTGTTTAAAAGTCTCTCTCCCGGAGCTTCTCCGGAGCTTGGCCTGTGGCTTATGATTTTTTTGGTAACCCTAGCACCTCACCCATTGCCTAGCACATGGGATTTGAGAGAATGAATGAGTTGGAGTGGATACGTTTGGGTGGGTGTGCTAAATAATGAGTCAGATTGCTTCCAGGTTACACCTCCCCCTCATGTTGCTAAATCTGGCTGGACTCTAATCTCACTGAGGACAACAGGCCCTGATGGCTGGCTCTTGCTTCTGAGAGTCATGATACAGTTTAAAGATGGTCCCCTGGAGTGGTGGGAGATGCCTGAGCCTGAAGGCCCCTTGGAGGATTCCCCCCAAACCGCCCACACCTATCTCTGAATCTCCTTACACAAGTTCAGGCTTTTAAAATGGGGGTCTGTAAACAAACAAATAAAATAAAATAAAATAAAATAAAATAAAATAAAATAAAATAAAATCGGGGTCTGATTTCATCAGGGCCAGCCAGCTCCATCAGTCAGTTCTAGGTTCCAAGGACCTGACAGTAGCTTTAGGTTGTCCCTACTCCTTTGCAAATCTGGCTTCCAAATGGAGATATGCAATATCCCTATGAGACATGAAGATTTCTCAAGAGGTAATCATGCACTGGTATTTTTAAGGGAATTAATTTCTATATCCTCAACTTCCATATGTACTCTACCTGAGAAAGTTCCTGGAAATGAGGCTCCAAATGGCTTTTCCTTTCTTTTTATTATTTATTTATTTATTTATTTATTTATTTATTTATTTATTTATTTAAGAGAGAGAGAGAGAGAGAGAGAGAGAGCGAGCGTGAGCATGAGTTGGGGGAGGGGCGGAGGGAGAGGGAGAAGCAGACTCTTCGCTGAGTGGGGAGCCCGCCCTGGGGATTTTCCTTCTTAACTGTAGTTCTGCTAGTCTTCATAAGAAAGTATATCCCTGGCCCACCCTGAATCTTACTAGGGTATATTGCCCAAGGCAATAAAAAAAAATCCTGGAGGTAACAAAGGGACTTTAAAAATTATCAGAGAAACATCTTTTAATTATAGAGTGACATCATTTATCAAAATTATTTTGGTGGTATGTGAAAAAAAGAGTATCAGGACCACTTGTCCAAGGCAACACATTGTGGTGGCCTCTGGAGGGTTTTCTAGGAAGTCCTCGCAGGCTCCAGGGCTCTGAAATTGGACCTCAATTCCACTGGGCCAGCCAGGTAAATAACTTCGACTTGATTTGTTCATAACTTCTACCACAGTTGACAGTCTCCCCCTTGAAACACACTCTCCCCTTGGCTTTGGCCTTATTACACTCTCCTGACCTTCCTCCCTTCCTCTCTGGTTCCTCATCCCAAGCTTTCTGGTCTAATTCCATGTCCTCCAACTGGACTTTTAAATCCAGGAGTTTCTCATGGCAGTGATAAGCTCTCTTACCTTTCTGTTCTTTTCTTACTAAGAGATTTCACCCATTACCACAATTTCAAATACCACTTGCTCATTCCACATCTATACCTGAATGTCTCACAGTGTTTCCAAACTGAAGAAGGCCAAAGCCAAGCTCATGTTGTTGTTGTTGTTCTTCTTCTTTTAAGATTTTATTTATTTATTTGAGAGAGAGAGAGAGAGAGAGCACAAGCAGGGGGAGTGGCAGGCAGAGGAAGAGGGAGAAGCAGGCTCCCCACTAAGTAGGGAGCCTGACATGGGGCTCAATCCCAGGACCCTGAGATCATGACCTGAGCCAAAGGCAGATGCTTAACTGACTGAGCCACCCAGGTGCCCCCCCAAGGTCATGCTCTTCCCATGCAAAATCCCATCCTCTAGGCTTCCCCAGCTTAGTAACAGTACTCCATTTGCCCACTTCATGCCAGAGGCCTGAGAGGCACCCACAATATCTCCAATGAATAAGCTACTCCTATGGATTACACATGCTAGATTTCCCTGATCCTCCAGACTAGGCTACACACCCCTTGTCTACACCCCCCACAGCACCTTGCATTGCATAGTGCTTATCCAAGTGGTAATTACATAATTATTTGTGTAATTTTATCTCTCCCTCCACATCATAAGCTCCATATGCACAAGGACCATGTCTGTCTTTTTTTCCCCTGGCACATGGTAAGATCTCAATAAATATTTGTTAAGTTAACAAATTAAAACTCTCAGATTGGGACAACTGTGTTGTTGAGTGTCCTTGCAATTTAGTACCTAATGCTGTGTGCACAGTAGAGGGCAGCAGAGTATAGATAATGGAGAGAGAGTCCAGGCCTCCATAGGAAATAAAAGTAACTGTATACATCACTTAACATTCCTGAGACTTTATTTCCTTCTCGGAAATCAGAGCTAATTCTCCTTTTCTTGGATCAAAAGAGAAACAGAAGGGAGTATTATTAGACGCAGTTATGATAAATATTTATTGAATAAATGGACGCAAAGGAAGATCTTATTTACACTATAGAACACTTGTGAGCAGACACTTGACAGGTTCAGAAGGGAGAGAATGAAAGCTCAAGAAGACACTGGCTGAAGTTCAGAGCCAGCCGGAGGCAAAGCTGTGAAGTCAGCACAGTATGTTCTTGGCGGGGTCTCAGCTCTGCTCCCTGACCGCTGCCCGCCCCCCTGTGGCCAGCCCCGGCATCTAGTATCCTGTGGCTGGGCTTGCTGCAAGCCTTTCTTTCCCTGTCCTTCTATCAGACCACCTCTGTCCTGGGTCCTGGCCCCTCAGAGGCCCGCTCACCGCCATCCACCATGACAGCTAGTTAACGCAGTCACTGGATCCCTGTTAAAGTGCCAATGGCAGGTAGTATGGTCTTTTACCTCTCCCAACAAAAGGAGGTGGACCTTCCTGACACAGAAAAACAATAACCTACTCAAAAAGAATAAATTGCTGATCATAAAGTTTCAGGTTCTATGGAAGGAGAGGAAATGAAAAATTAACAGGCATTATGGCAGTCCTAATCTTGGGCTCAAGAAAAATAATTATAGGGTACGTGGGTGGCTCAGTCGGTTCTGCATCTACCTTCAGCTCAGGTCATGATCCCAGGGTCCTGGGATCGAGTTCTGCATCGGGCTCCTTGCTCAGGGGGGAGCCTGCGTCTCCCTCTGCCTGCCGCTCCCCCTGCTTGTGCGCTCTCTCTCTCTGGCAAATAAATAAATAAAATCTTAAAAGAAAAATAATGATACAAATACAGAATCTGCTAGATGAGACTTGATAGTAATATGAGGAGAAAAACTTAAAAAATTCATATATATACAT